CTTTGTACAGTGGGCTGGACTACAGCCAATACCCAGCCCTGTGTCTTACTGCAGGGTATTTAATAACCTTATTTTTCTGGCCTAAGCATGAGTGTATTCACCATCAACAAATTCCTTTCTTGGTCTCTTAAACTTATGATACCTTTCTTCTATTTCAGTGTCCTCCTTCTCATTTAAGGACCTACCTCTGCCACTCTGCCACACACATTGAAATCCAGGTCCAACACATTTAAATATCCATGCCATTTGTCTTTAATACCCTGGTTTCATTTGCTGAACATAATAATCTCTATTTCCATGTGTTTCCTACAAATGTTATGATGTTATTTTTCTTTATGTCTGAAGGAAAGTATATTGAATGAGCACATTATGTTTCATTTATTTATTCGTCATTTGGTGGATGTCTAGGCTGGTCACATGTCTTAGCTGTTGGGAATGAAGCAGCAGTGAGCTCAGGTGTATGCATGACTTGAGTATATTAGGATCTCATGGATACTCAGTAGTGGAATAGCTGTGTTTCAGTTATGATTTTGTTTCTTGAGAAGCCTGCACACTGAATTCCCAGTGTCTGCAGTGGTCCACATCCCCATCAGCAGTGGACAATGACTCTTTCTCAGGCTTGCACTTGTCATGAGCTTTGATTTCCTGACACTCTGACTGGTGGAGAGACTCTGAGAGCAGTTTGAATTTGCATTTCCCTTGTGGCTAAGGACATTGAACTTTTACTATTATGATTATGATTATGATTATGATTATGATTATTTTGGTTTTTTGAGACAGGTTTCTCTGTGTAGTTTTGATGCCTGTGTTGGATCTTTCTCTGCGGACCAGGCTGGCCTCAAACTCACAGAGATCCACCTGACTCTGCCTCCCAAACGCTGGGACTAAAGGCGTGTGCCACCACTGTCTGGCTAACTTTAATTTTTTAAACTATATACAAACCTTCTTAGATAACTCGTCAGTTCATTGGCTATTTTTAACTTTTCAAGTAAATAGATGGAACTAGAAAAGATCATATTGAGGGAGGTAACCCAGACCCAGAAAGATAAATGTTGCATTTTCTCTCTCATCAAAGGTTCATAGCTCTAAACCTTCAGATGTTTGTATATAACCTGGAGTAACTGTAGACACCAGGAAAGTAGAAAGAGACCATTGCTGGATGGGGTTGGGGGGGGCGCAATAAAGAGGAGAAAAGTGGGGGACAGATCAGTATCTCCAGATCGGTGTCTGAAGGGAGAAATGAAAAAACAGAGGGGTATAATTAGGTTGGAAGAGGGTGCTAAATAGTGAAGGAGGGAGGGAAACAAAATAACATTAAGGATGTCTGAAAAACTCCAAAGAAACTGTGCGGTTAACTATCACCTAAAAATAACTACGACACATATAAGTTAGTGTATAAATATATATACAGTTTAAGTAAAAACTTCCAATCTGGGCTGACAATGCTCCCTCTAAGAGCCCAGAGAATCCACAACACCAGATTGAGAAGCCCTCTTTGGAGTTGTTGGTCAGAGTTATCCCAGAGACTCCCAAAACATTACATGCTGTTGTTCTTGCTTTGACTGCCCCCTAGAGGTGAAAAGTAGCCAATGTTTTGAGCTGCTGATTCTCTGAAGGCTTGTTCCTGAAGTTGTTTATATATTCTAGAATATTAATCTCCTGTCTTAGATTTGTTGTCAAAATATTCTCCCTACTGTATGCTTTGTCTTCAGCCTGTTGATTTTTTTCTTGGTGGTTCAGAAGCTCATTTACTTTTTTTTTCAATCAGTTATGGCCTGTCCTGCAATGATATCCTGTTATCATCCCTTTCAGGCAGCTCTAGTCTGTTTGATATTGATGCATTTTCCTGTATTGTCCGGCAGTAGTTTAGAAGTTTTGACAATTACATTAATGTCTTTGATCCTGTTGAACTTGACTATGTGTTGAGAGTATGTGTCTAAGGAACTAGTCTCTGTTATCTACATTTAGATATCCAGTTTTCTAGGTGCCAATTATTGAAGAGGTTATTAGTTTTTAAATACACACTTTTGACACCATTATCAAACATTAGGGGACTTCGGTTGTAGGTGTTTATTTCTGAGTCTTGAATTCCATTCCTTAGATTTGTATGACATTTATTCTGATACAGTGCTGATTTTGTCACTGTGACTCTATAATGTAAAGTGACATTAGTTACTGTGATACTTTACCATTATTCTGTCTAGTATTTTTTTGGACTAAAGTTTTTTGTGCTTCAAAATAAAATTTAGAATTGAGACTTGAAGGTTTCAGAAGACTGTCACTACAAGTTTAAAATTCTAGTAGCATTTAGTAATATAGCCATCTGTCAAAATTATGCCAATTGATGACCATGGGACTCCTTTCCATCTTCAAGAGTCTCATGAATTTTTTCATAATTGTCTTGATATTTTTGTTGAAGAGGACCTTTACTACATTGTTTAAGTGGATGTGGTTGTTGTTGTTGTTGTTGGATGTTTTGTGACTTCATTCTTCATATTTTTGTTGGACATATAGAATACAATTCATATTTTAAGTGTTTTATACTTTGAAAACTCTATATATAAAATATTTAGTCATTGTCATCCCTCATTAAATTTTCTTGCCTCCCACTCCCACTGTTTTTCTCCAACATATCTCTCTTCTACCTTAATGACTTTTTTGAGTGTGTGGCCCATTGAGTTTAATTATGATTGCTTGCATGTGCCTGGGTGGGAGTTTTATTGACTAAGATACACAGTGCTTAATGTTCTATATGGATTTTGGAAGCATCACGTTCCTCACTTGAATGTGTTATTCTAACCCATATAGCTAGTGAACTTTAAAGCTGCTAGTTTTGAGTTCAGCCAGAACAAAATAAGGCTTTTCAACAAATCCTTGCTGCTATGTAGAATGTTCTGTCATTTGACCTATTTACCCAACATATTTGATCGAACCTGAGTCCTCAGTAACAGATAGGAATCCTGTCTGGAGTCTGTGGCAGGACCCATAAATGATCCTCAGCAAAGGCCCTTGATGTCTGTGAAAACACACAGTCAAAGAAAACACTAAATCTAAAAAGATCCAGGCAAAAACACCCAGGAAATGTGGGAAACAATGAAAAACCAAATCTGTGAGTAATAGGAGCAGTGGAAGGAGGAGAAACCCAAGTCAAAGGCACAGGAAAGGTTTTCAATAAAAACCAAGAAGGAAATTTCCATAACCCAAAGGAGGTGCCTATCAAGGTACAAAAAGCATATAGAACACTAAAAACACAAGACCAGAAAATAAATCCTCAAGACACATAACAATTAAAACACTAAACATGCAGATCAAAGGAAGATATTAAAAGATGCAAGGGGAAAAGACCAAATAACATGAAGGCACACCTGTCGGAATAACACTGAGCTTCTCAATGGAGACTCGACACAGAAGGGCCTGACAGACATACAGACTCTAGGAGACCACAGAGTCTGTACATCTCTAGACAGACAACTCTACCCAAGTAGACTTTAAATCATTAGATGATAAAAACAAATTTAAGCACTATCTACCTACAAATCCAGCTCTACAGAAGGCACTGGTAGAAGATGAACTTAACTAGGCTTAAATACCCACCAACTGTTGGTGTGAAAGGACAGATCTGATCCTCTTTACCCCTTTGATCCTGCTGCCAAAAGCCATGTTACAATTATGGCAAAGTTTGTCTAAGAGGGCAGCCCTCCAGTCTTTTCTCAATATCATTTACATTTTTTTTATTTTAATTTATTTTGCAATACAATTCAGTTCTACATATCAGCTACGGATTCCCTTGTTCTCCCCCCTCCCGTCCCCCTCACCTTCCCCCCAAACCCCCCCCATTCCCATCTCCTCCAGGGCAAAGCCTTCCCCACAGACTGAGGTCAACCTGGTAGACTCAGTCCAGGTAGGTCTAGTCCCCTCCTCCCAGGCCGAGCCAAACAATCCTGCATAGGCCCCAGGTTTCAAACAGCCAACTCATGCAATGAGCACAAGATCTGGTCCCACTGCCTGGACACAAGTACAGAACACTAACCAAAGATTATACCATGACAACATTCCCAAACCCCAACCAAGTACACTGCAAACATGCAGAGATTTCTTTCATTTTGTTTGAAATGTGAATCTAAACTTTGTTCCTATTATCTGTATATTTCAATTTGCAGTGCAGACTTCCATCTACCTTGACTGAGGGGAAAGGCATATACATTCTATAGGGCTGTATCTATCCAACTCTGCCTGTAAGAAACACACGAACATCCTTAAATATCAATTATCTGTCTGACAAATGCACAGTAAAACTTCAGAAAACTCAAAAGAAAATGGGCATGGATCTACTTTTTTATCTTTTCCTGTGATACATTAAAATAAAAACAAGCTTCAGATCTCTTCACATGCAGTAATTTACATTCTGTGTTTTTCAGTCACACTGTATCCTCTTTCCTGACTTTTGCTACATCTGCTTTGTGATTATATGCCCAGCTGTGCTAGTCAGAGTAATGGTGAAGTCCACACAGCAGTTTTCATGTGTCCAGTCAAACCTTGTAGGCCACCTTTTGGAACACACAAGCCATCTCTTCTTTGGTTCAGGCAACTCAGATGATCTTTATTTATGATGAGAATTCCTGGGCTGAGACACTGATGGTCAGGTTGAGTGACCAGTATTTCTAACATCTCTGGTTTGGGGGTGATTATTTCATGCACTCTGAAGACGTTCCTGTCTGCCATAGGCTGAGTTTCAGACAGGGCAGACGAAGACACCTACACATTTCTTGATTCTTCTGATGTGCTGTCTGCAGCGCCTTCACAGTTCTTAGACTAGCATATGCTCTCCACACAGACACAGAATCTGAGGTAGGACTGTGGGACACACTAGCTGTCCCCGTTGTTGTCATCCTGCCATGATTTTGCTGTCCCTGAAAATATTTTGTAACAAACAGAATATTCTTAGAGTCTTAGAATTCTCAGAAAAGTCACAGCCTATAAAACACAGCTTGGGCCTGAGGTCTAGTTTGTCTCCTGAGCCATATTTTTTAGCTTTGTGGCCTAGATGCACTAGCTGAGCTTGCATGTGATGCCAGGTGGTAGGCCAAAGCCTCCAGGTAGGGAGAGCCACCACCTGGAGGGGATTGGATTGGAGGCAGAGCTGAGCCTGTGCCCTGGGGGCCTCCTTTGTATTTAAGCAGCTCCTAGCCAGCCTAGGACAATGCAGTACTGGCTTCAGCCTCTACCTTGGAAACTACAAATTTCAGGCAAGAATCAGACACCAGCCAAGGTGCACAGGGCAGGAGATGCAGCTGACTGACGCTGCAAAAATATTTCAATAGTTTTGGAATGGCTAACCCTAGACTTCTTTCTCTAGGTTTTTGATAACTGACTCCTACTGTTTTCGTAACCATCCTTTGCTTGGAAATGGCTTCAGCTTCTCCATCACCTGATCCCAGTTTGGATGCGGAATGGCAGGAGTGGAAGAGGAAATACGAGAAAACTTACAGCCAGGTTGGTAACATAGTCCAGAGGGATCTCAAAGAGAATGATCTTAACTGTAAGGAGTTCCTGAACATAAAAGTGGCCACAGAGACCGGTTGTCACCAGGAATTGCCTAAAGACATGTATTATGAACTCAAGGTGGCCAGCATTTCTTATCCCCTGAGTGTGGAGAACGTAGTGTCCTGAGACCCCTCTCCATGGATCCTCTTTACCTCGCACTACACTTTACTTGGTCAGCTTGTGTGGGGGTTAATATGAAAGAAATATTATCTTTTGTATTTATTTCCAGGATGAAGAAAGACACAGGAGAATGGTGTGGGAGGAAAATAAGAAGAAAATTGAGGAGCACAATGCAGAATATGAGCAGGGCATGGCCAGCTTCTGCATGGGCCTGAATGAATTTAGTGATTTGGTGAGTGACATGGGAATTGTTAACTGTAGTTTTTCTTTTCACATTTTTCTGGTATCTGTTGGTTTTCAATGTTTTATTTGCTTTTCCATAAAGACTAATGATGAATTCTGGGAAGTGATGACTCGCTCTTCAGACTCAGTATTAGAAGACCAGGAGATAATCAACACACATCTCTTTAGTGATATTCCTGAATTTGAGGATTTGACAGAGGAAAACAATATGATACCTGAGAAGGATCAGGTATGACAGTGTCACATTCCCATCCTCAACTACCCACAGGAAAGCCAAGAAGGAACTGAAGGTCTCACTTACGTCAGCTGTAGAAAAACAAACAGTTCACTGCTGACTAAGTGTTCAGCTCTGTGAATAGCAACTAGAGTTGATATTTGGTTATGGATGACAACTTTTTCTTCTTGCTCATGGTAGATGCTCTGTTAGTTTGGTTTGAATATGGCTGGTGAACATGAATGGTAGAAGTCCAGCGCAGACACTGTGATAAAGCCACTGTGCTGCATTCTTTCAAGTTAATACTACGTGGGTTTTTCTTCCAGCCAGAGTAACAGTTGGGACTTGGATGGCAACACAAAGATAGCCAAGGAGTGAAGAAATTACTGTGCCATTGCCTGAGGAGCATTCTGCCCCAAGATGTGAGCTACATGGTATTGACAAGGCTAGACTATGGGAAAAGAAGAAATAGCAGGTGTTTCCCTATTATTATGGCCAGCCTATACTATGAGGAATCCAACACTCAAGACCTGTAAGGTCCACACTGTTATGTGAACTCTGTGTCATGTTCATACTAACAAAACTTTACCAATATTTTATTACATGCTCTGAAGTCTGTTATGTTATTGATTCTCACAAGGATCTTTAAATTTTTCTTAAATAAAAAGAACATACACTGTAATGTCTAAAAAAAAAAAAAAAAAAAACCTTGGTTTTAAATGCAGTATTCTGCTTTCTTTCTGGTTTTGTTTCTGTAGGTTTTTATGTGGTTAAGCAAATAATTCTGCTTGATGGTACACCTGTGTAATGGCTTTCTGGGAGGTAGTGTTTGTGGCTCTTTTCAGTATAAAGTCAGTATTACATCCTTGGTTGAGCTTTGGTTCCAGGGTTTTAGATGCCCTCTTTCAGCAATGGTCTGAAAGTCTATTGAAAATTTTTACAATTCAATGATTTTAATTCACATGAACTTGACAAGTGCAAACTATTTGTCACTCAATGCAAAGAGAAGGCACTGTCTTCCGTTCCACTACACCGCACCTGTGCCATGAATACCTTTTCTAATGAACAGATCAGAACTGTGTTCTAGTTGCACTGTGGCCTTGTAGAAGCCACCTAGAGAATAAGGTCTGTGGTCACAGGAGTATAGGTCATGCTCAAGTGACCCTTTCATAACCCAGCACAACCCAGTCATGGAAGACGTTCATAGCTATGTCAGTATGCAAAATGTCTTTTGTGTTTTCATATAAATTTTAGAGGTGCCAGGCGGTGGTGGCGCACGCCTTTAATCCCAGCACTCAGGAGGCAGAGCCAGGTGGATCTCTGTGAGTTCAAGGCTAGCCTGGTCTCCAATGTGAGTTCCAGGAAAGGCGCAAAGCTACACAGAGAAACCCTGTCTCGAAAAACAAAACAAAACAAAACAAAACAAAACAAAACAAAAAAAATTTAGAGGTGGTTTATACTTTTCTGAGGAACATTGGAATTTAGTAAAAAAAAAAAAAAAACATTAGCTAGATAGCTTTTGATAGTCTACTAACTTTTACACTGTCATACCGATCCATGAACAAGGGTCGCCTTTCTATCTTCAAGCTTCTTCATCCATTGTTTCTTTGTTGTCTTCCTGTTTCCATTGCAGAGGTCCTTTACCACCTTGGTTAGGTGTATTCCTGGGTAATTTTTAAACTTTGTGAATTGAATTTTTTTTCCTGACTTCTTTCTCTTTAAAGTTTGTATTTGACATACAGAAAGCTGTTCATATTTAATTTTTTTATTCTTTGACAGTTTTATACATACATAACTGATTTAGTCATTTCTGTCCCCCATTATACTTTCTTACCTCCTGCCTGTCATTTAAACTGATTTTCTCCAACAAATATCCCTTCTGCCTTAATGACTCTTTTCAGTGAGTGACTCACTGAGTTTAATTCCAGTTGCTTGCTTGCGCCTGGGTGGAAGTCTATTGACTAAGATGCACAGAGCTTAGTGGCCTGTTTGGATTTTGAAAGCAGCACATTCCTCTCTTAAATGCGTTACTCTAACCCAAATAGCAAGTGAACCTTAAAGCTGTTAGTTTTGAGTGGAGTCAGAACAAAATATGGGTTTTCAGTGGGTCCAGGCTTCTGTGTAGAATGTTCTGTCACTTGATTCATGCAATCCAGCATACTTGATTAGACCACAGGTCTCAATGGCACATCAGAATGCTGTTTAGAGTCTATGGCAGACTCCATAAGTGAATTTCAGGAGATGCCCTTGAAAATTTGGAGCAGGGTCCTCTCTCTGATCATCTTTAGCCAAATTCTCTCCTCTGAAAAACAACTGTGGGCTTGTTATTGTGCCTTCATGAAAACTGAATACTTGGCAATGGAACACCAAATTACCATGTGATCTGAGCAGTACTTCATGAATTGAGATTTATTGGACTCACTAAGCCATGAAATTAAACATTCATAGATGTAATCTTTCATCAAATAGCTATGATGTATGTGGTTGAGCAGGTCCTGAAAGAACAAGCAATTTACATGAAGAAATTGTCCAAATGCCTGTGGTTCCTAGATCTGTAACAATGTCTTTCTACCGCAAACATGCACCCATGACCTCATAAAATTATTGAGTAAGAGGTCAGGGTGTGGCACTGATGGTTCTTCACACTAAGCAGGAGCCACTCATAAGGGGACATCTATGTTATTAGAGCCCCTTGCTGGGACAACCATGAAAGCACTGGTGAAGAGACCACCTCACAATGGGCAGAACTCTGGGCAAGGCACAGGTCATATGTTTCCCTTGGAAGAAATGACCAGATGTTAACTCGATTCTGATTTGTGGGCCATAGTCAAAGGTTTGGCTTTGTGTCAGAGACTTACTTAGGAAGGTGAATAATTGGAAAATTGGCGAGAAGATATTTGGAGAATAGATATTGTTATAGGAGTAGTCAAGGCCCATTAAGGGAAAATTATTTTCTTCAGATCCAGGCAATAGGACTTCTGGTGTGGTTGGACCCTGACATTCAATTTGGGCAGGTCAGACATCTATCTAAGGGACCATCCCTCAGGGAGACAGGACTACCCCTCTGGAAGGCAGAACTTCAGTAAGCCATGCTAAGGAGACAGGAGGAATAATTATCCCTTTAATGAGATAATCACTCTGTTTTTTAGAATCCCCACTCTTTATCACAACATCTCAGAATGGCTTTGTTCTGATTCACTCAGAGAAGTATACCTGGTTCTTTCCTTCTTCCTGCCTGTGTTCCAAACACACTTTCACTAATACTTTGGGGTTTGCTGTGTTTAAAGCTCCCCTCCCTGCCCTGAGGCTGCTTGTCCACCATGTGGCTGACATCCATGCCAGCCTAACTCAAATGGCGTGGCTTCCTGTTTTTTTCACTATCTTACTCCTCCAGGAAGCTCCCGGGACCCACAGCTTGCTTACTTTGAGGTTTTCTTTTAAATCCTACTAAAGCTGTTATTACACTTTTTAGTTCATTCTTAAGGTATTTTATTAGCATGACTAAGCTACTCAAATTCTTGGGGACCTCAATTTTCCTAGTAACATGTAATTGACTCTGGCATGACTACCCAAGATTTCTGATAACCATATGTTGATTGATCTCTTCAAATGGTAAAATGTCTTAAAGATACTTAGTATCTCATGAAAATATTCATCAAAAGCTAATTGCAGCAAAGGAGATGCTCACTAATTAAGAGGATATTGTGAGTTATTCTATGAAACATCAACCTCTTTCACTAGCCATACCCATTATTGCTCAGTGGGTCCAAGAATAAAGAGGCAGTTGTGCAGAAATGGAGGCTGAATATGGACTCAACAATGTGGTCATCCACACACCAAAACTGACCAGGATATTACTACTGCTTAGCACCAAATATTCTAAAAGTGGGGATCAATACTGAGCCCTAGATATGGTTCTTTTCTCTGGGGTGACTTGGTGGCAGGATCACTAAATTGGACTATTTGCATCCTGGGAAGGGTTGTGCTTTGTTTTTTTATTGAATTGACACTTATTCTGGTTACAGGTTTGTCTTCTTGTACATTAGTCTACTGCCAAAAATATTTTCTTAGACTTATAGGTGCTTTATCCACTGTTGTGGTGTTCCACACAGTATTATTTCTGAATAGGCATCTTCATGGTCAATAAGTGTGGCAGTGGACCCTTGAAATACACTAGTCTTATCAAATTCCCCACCATTCTGAAGCAGCTGGTTTAACAGAAAGAAATAATGGTCTTCTAGAGACACAGTCACAGCACCAATTAGGTAGTAATAGCATGGTGGACTAGGGATAGGTTCTCTGGATGACTTCTCTTGTAGCCAAGAGTCCATTGATTCAGGAACAAAGTGGTAACCATGGGAATGGTACCACTCAGCATTACCCCTGGTAACCCACTAAGAAAAAATTTTCTTCCCCAAACTTTATTGCTAGGTGCCCTAAAAATTTTGTATCCAGAGATTGGAGGGCTTCTGTCAGGAGGTACAACAAAAATTCCATTGAACTGGAAGCTAAGACTTCCTCCTGGCTACTTTGGGCCCCTTGATATTCCAGTATTAGGAAGAGTGATTGATACAGACTAAAATATGTTAAACTATTTTCCACAATGGAGGTAAGGAAGAGTTTGGAGTGCACAAGATCCTTTAGGGTACATCATGGTGTGGCCATGTCATATCACTAAGGCCAATCTGAAACTACACAAATCCAATCAAAGCATATGATAAATGGCTCAGACCCTTCAAGAATGAAGATATTGTTACTTTACCAGGTAGCATGGGAAGTGAGTGATGCATGATGTGACTAGAGACATAGTCAAAGATCACAGACTTGGGGAAAAAATATTTCATGTCATCATATTAGGAGGTCCCCCTGGCCTCTGAGGCTGTAGTGTCACAGTGAGGAGAGCCAGGGACACTGGTAACAGAAGATGCTGGTGGCCAAGAGAGATGTGCTGACACCTGCAGGAGTTGTTCAGGCTCTGTCACTTTGTGAGCCTGGGATAAAAAAAAAAAAAAAAAAAAAAGGCTATGATGGTGCTTTGCAGATATTTAAAACAAGTGATTAAAGTCTGTTTACAGATTCATATAACATAATGTCAACTCACCCTTAATGAATGCCTGAAAGGTTCTAGTTTGGAGATCTATATCTGTGAAATTGAGATTTGCATAGTCTCAGATGTGTTTGAGGGTCCATACATTCATGAATGCCTAGAACTTTGTGTATATTCCAATTACCTATATGCTGAGGAGACAGAAACTGAAGAATGTTTCAAGGAAAGAGTCAAAACTTATATAGGCCAGCGTCCTGCATCTCCACTTTCCAAGGCTATTTGGTGGAGCAGCTTCTATCTGGCACAGTCAATGACAGCCTGGCCACACTAGCTTTGTGGACAGCCCTCATCTCAGGGTAGTCTTTTGTTAAATAAGATTTTGGATGGACTTTCATGACACTCTCTATGATGGCTAATCTATTTTGTCAACGTCACAACTTTGAAAAGGAATCCTTAGCTGAGGACTTACCTCCATCAGATTGGCCTGTGGGCATATCTTTGAGGAATATTTTTGATTGCTAATTGATGTTGGAGGTCTCAGTCTACTGGGAAGGATACAATCCCTGAACAGGTAGGTCTGGACTATACAAGAGAAGTAGCAGAATGTGAGCCTAGAATTAAGCCAGTAAGCCCCATT